AGTTAAATGACTTGACTGTGCTCTAGTGTGTTCCATGCCAGAACTTAATGTGTGTATCGTGCTGCTCAGAAATGGGTAGGGGTTACACAGGTGCATCGCCAATTAACTGCATTTATACTGCTTTTAACTTGCAATGTTAACAGACTGAAGGAGGTCAAAATGCATTGTTAGTATGGGTTTTAATTTCCTGAAACTGGAATAAAGCACATTTTTAGAAATTAATTTATGTGTATTAAAGATGGGAAGATCTGGAGTAGAAAAGTGGATACAGTATTATTGTCAGATTGCCATCGGACATACTGAATGCAGTAGCAAATACAGGATAGCCAAGGTTGGATGTTCCCTTAGGTACACATAGGTATTGAAGTTGATTTCCTCACTTCTAAGGGACCTGGATTGGATAGCAGTTCCTGCCAAGCTGTCCCAGGCCCTGCTCTGCTTCTTCTCCAGATAGGGCACCCACATGCCTGTCTTTGGGAGAGACTGCAATATTTTTTGTCACAATTACTCCAGGCCTGAAGCCCACCCAATTTTCAGTAGTCACGTATTCTTGGCCGGAGACCTGTTCCCCAGAGTAAAGAATGTCCAATCAAGATGCTTTTTCAACACTTTACTGAAGGACATTACAGTCCATAATCCGACTTCCTGAACTGTGTTTTACAGTACAGAACACAATTTCTCCATTCCACAATCCCTGAACAGAGCACAATACTGTAGCTATCATGAACCCACTGAGTCCAGCCATCAATTCCCTTACTGTTCCATCAGTCCCTTAACAGTGGGTTCTCACATATGAAGTCTCTTACAACCCAAGCCCTAGAGGGCTGCTCCACTTCCAGCTACAGAAATGAAGGTCAGGGGTAGCTGCAACCTACTGCTTCCTCCCACGTGAGTACTCCATTACAGATTCTCTCCAGTTCAACCCTCTCTCCCCCCCTCTCTCTCCCTCTCCACCCCTCTCTCTCTCTTCTCTCCCTCTCTCCCTCTCTCTTCCTCTCTCTCTCCCCCTCTCTCCCTCTCCTCCCTCTCTCTCCCCCCCCCCTCCCCCTCTCTCTCCTCCCCCCTCTCTTCTCCCCCCTCTTCCCCCCTCTCTCTCTTCCCCCCCTCTCTCCTCTATTTCTCCCCTCTCCCTCTCTCCCTCCCTCTCTCTCCCCCTCTCCCTCTCCTCACCCCCCTCTCTCTTTTCCTTCCTCTCCCTCTCCCCCCCCTCCCCTCTCTCTCTCTCCTCCCACCTCTCTCTTCTCTATCCTCACTCACTCCCTCCCCCATCCCCCCTCTCTCTCCCCCCTCCCTCCCTCTCTCGCTCTCCTCTCTTTCTCCTCTTGCTCTCCTCTCTCCCCCCCTCTCTGCCCCCCTCTCTCCTTCCCCCCTGCCTCTCTCCCTCTCCTCACCCCCCCTCTCTCCTCCCCCTCCCCCTCTCTCTCTCTCTCACCTCTCTCTCCCTCTCCTCACCTCTCTCTTCTCTCTCTCCTCCCCCTCCCTCTCTCTCCTCTCTCTCTCACCTCTCTCCCCCTCTCTCTCTTCTCTCTCTCTCTCTCCCCCTCTCTCTCTCTCTCTCTCCTCTCTCTCTCCCCCTCCCTCTCTCGCTCTCCTCTCTTTCTCCTCTCGCTCTCCTCTCTCCCTCTCTCCTCTCTCTCTCTCTCTCTCTCTCTCCCCCCCCCCCTCTCTCTCCACAAGTCTGCATGGTTTTGCCCAGTGGTGACCTGTTTCCATACCCAAATTAACTGGCCCCACCCACTTTAGATAATAAAATGACACAGACTCCACCCACTGCATAGCAGGGGAATGTCACAACTTAAGGGGCACTACACCTGCCAACACCTTAGCAAAGTGAATGTTTGCTCTGAAAAAGGTATGTTCACCTTGCAAGGTAAATGATAGTAAGGTAGGTGAAGCTGCGTTCATTTTGAATACCCCATCATGTGCAATGGAAGTTTGCAATGAAAAAGTATGTTTGCTAACCCAAAATTTACATGAACACAACTTCATGTTATTTATATCATGTTGCGGAGTGAACAGTCTCTATTCCTTTAGTCAATCAACCCCATTGTGTCAAGTGATCCCGCTGGAAGAGGGAAAAAGAAAACCCACACAGAGTCATAAGAATCATCACTTACCTTGAGGAAACTTCTACTTCTTATTAAAACTCGTGTTTTCCTAAAATGGCTGCCAGAGCCTTTGATCATTACATCTTTCAATGTGAATTGCCGATCTGCAGAGATCACCTTAGCAATTACATGTCTGTCTCTGCACTGGGCCATAATGGCTGTTGGCAGGGCAGAAGATAAAAGCTTATGTAAATGGCAGAAGATAAACAAAGATGAACACTTATGTAAGTAAGAGCAATGATGGGGAGAACATAGAATGTTCCCAGAGTCAAGCAGTGCCTAGATCCCACAGAAGACTCAGCCCCCATGGATTCCACTTTACAGAGCTATTCACCCTGAGGTCATCACAGAGGACAAGGGGGCACTCTTTATGTCTGGAGGAAAAGAAATTTAATCTTCACAGAAAGGTTTCTTCACAGTAAGAGCTGTGAAAATGTGGAATAGACTCCCTCAAGAATTGGTTCTGGCCAGCTCAGTGGATTGCTTTAAAAAAGGCCTGGATTCTTTCATAGATACACAGAATATAACTGGTTACTAACATTCATAGGTAAAGTTGATCCAGGGAATATCTGATTGCCTCTTGGGGGATCAGGAAGGAATTTTTTTCCCACCAGGAGCATATTGGATCATGTTTGCTGTGTTTTTTGCCTTCCTCTGGATCAACTATGGGTATAGGAGTATAACCTTTTTTTTATGATTGAACTGGATGGACTTTTGTCTTTTTTCAGCCAGATTAACTATGTAATTATGTAACATTCTTCATTACCTACTGTAGTTTTATTCAAATATTACAATTTCAAACTTTTGCACTATGTATGCACTAGAACTAAGTAAAAATAGTCGCCACCAGGGGCGGACTCACCATTTGGAAACTCGGGCACTGCCTGAGGGCCCATGGTCAGTAGGGGGCCCTTTTTCATAGGCTTTTTTGAGTTTGGGCAAGGACACAAGGGCCCCATGATCCCCTATTGCCTGGGGGCCCCATGAGTTGTCAGTCCACCCCTGGTCGCCACTCATCTAAACTTACACTGTCCTTGAGTTATTTTTGTGATTAACAGTTCTTACTGGGGTTTACACATGGCTGCGCATAAAGCCATTAATTATATAGTCAGTATTTTGCTAAGGAAATGGACCTGAAACAAATAGAAACACAGTGAAGCGATAAATGTCTAAACTCAAGCTGTCTGTGCTGTTGCCAAGTTGTGCTAAGTATTTCCTGTTAAATCTGTCTATAGAGCGTCTAAACTCAAGTTATTTAGAAATCTTGTTATTAAATCACAGGAGTGAATAAAACTGGAGTGGTGGAGCATTATTAATAGGCTGTAAATAGTTTCTGCTAAAGTAAAATATGGATTAGGTTCTACATTCTATAACCTGATCCTTATAGGTCACAGTGGTATAACGTATTCATTTACCCCAGGGGAACCACAGCAAACATAGAATTATCATACAAGTCAATAGGTCTCTGTGCTGTAGTCGACTATCATTGCTGCAAGTGTATTGAGGAAACAATGGTGTAACTGCTTTGTAATTATCTTATCCACATGAGTACACATATGAGTTTCTAAAGAAAACCTTATATGGATGAAGTATTAAGCAGAGGGTAAAGCCTACATCTCTGAAGGGTTCTCTCCACCAGGGTCAGTAGACGATGTTGTATCATCCCTCCAACCTGATACATATATAGGTTTTAAGTGAAAATAATCTTATAGGCACCTGTCAAAACTGTTAAAGACCTTTCTCCAATACTAATATAGAGTTTCTATTGCTTATTGACAGTGGCAATATCTGTGTAACTGACTCTAGCATTGGTTGCAGTAAGAATTTGGGTAAGTGATGACAGTGTGTTATCATCAGGTACTTTCCATTCTGTATCCTGTTGCTTTTTAAACTATGGGGTTCCTATTTGCAGACTACTATCTGATAAAGTTTTTACAGATGTCATCAATAAATGCATTTTTTGGTCACTTCCGGATTCATTATTACCAGCAATGCACTTGCTTTCCTTCTTCTTACACTGTACCTCTGGCAGTTATGTGAGAATCATTCCCAGATTATTCGCATATGGCTAATATGCCCAATTATGCTATTAGTTGGGTTTTCCTCAAGCAAGCAATTTCCTTCACATAAAGTTTCTCAAAGCTTGTAGAATGAAAGGTTAAGTTGGTCTTCAGTAAGAGCGAACTATGTGAGGGCAGTATTGTAAGTAAAATTTTTTATTTTTGTAGAACTGGACACAGAGTCCTTTCTACTTCATGGTAGAGAGGGACCTAATTATGTAATTTGTGCAAGAGAGGATATGACTCTTTTTTCCTGTAGAAATGTTATCTAAGTCAGTGCTTTTAGATTGTTTAATAGGGATAAGTCGAACGTGCAAAATAATAGCAACCACCCCAGCCTATAAATGGCCTTTGCAGCAAGGAGCACATGGAAGGGCGAAGCATTTTAACCACTTCAAGTCCAGACACTTTCACCCCCTTCCTGTCCAGGCCAATTTCCAGCTTTCAGCGCTATCACACTTTGAATGACAATTGTGCGGTCATGCAACACTGTACCCATATGCATTATTTAGCATTTTTTTGAGACAGATGAAACTTTATTTTGGTGGTATTTATTCACCACTGGGATTTTTATTTTTTTACTATATAAATTAATAAAATAAATAATCTTTCTTCATAAATCTTGGCCAAAATGTATTCAGTTATCTTTTTAGTAAAAAAAAAACTAACCCAAATTAGTTTATAACCCAAAATTATAATTTTTCAAATCATTTTTTACATATTTATTTTTTTTTATATTATTATTTATTTTTTTTTAACGTAATGTCACCCTAGCAGTACAGTGTCACCATAGTGACACTGTACTACTTGTGGGGGGTGATTAATTTGTTTTTTTTTTTACACTAATTGCTTTAACACCCATAAAGGCTGTAAAAACAATAATTTCTCCTTCTCTCTGGTAGCATTCTTGCAGCCATTGAGAAATACTTTGAGAGCTGTGATTGGTCACAGCTTGTCACATGATACAAGGTGTAGCAATCATGCGCACAGAGATGGACGCGGTTCAACCATTTTGGCTCCAACCTCCATCTTGGCAAAGGATCATCCATCTTGTACAAACATATCTCTCCTCATTCTCCCCCTCCCTCTCTGAGAGTCACAGTGACATTTGGTCGGTGTGTGTGTTGGAATTGTGACAGGCAGGCCAGGGCACAGCAGGTAGCTCCGAGCTATAAACAATCTTTGAGCTAGGTGTGGGGCTGGCTGGGAAGCTGAGCAATCTGGCACCTCATACAAAGATAACCCAAGCCTTCCCCTGAGTTCAAAGACATTCCAGACCAGTACGAAACTAGATAACACCTTTAAAATCCATTTTTCCCCTATGTCTCATATCTTGGAATATGAGAGGCTTAGATAAAAAACAGGCATATCTTCAGATTGGCCACGAGAAGACAAACAGTTTGATATGTCACTCTCCTTGGCTGGAGTACATAGGAAAGCAGAAAATTACATCTCTTGAACCACTCAAGTATGTATTTCATATCGCATATCTAACCGTTCCTTAGATGCGTCTGCATATTAATCTACCTGCAGGTGGGATGGTACTTGTGCCTAGGAAAAGTTATGAGCCAAAATATGAGCTAGGAGAGATTTTGGTTTTAGTTTGGGTCTCCGCCCAGACAATCCCTCCCCAAATGAGGCATTAGTCCTTGGCTTCAGATGCACCCCCTGCTGGGGACTACAAAATAGGCTGTCAGGCCTAAGAGTGTAAGTTGAAGAATTCTCCCATTTAACATCAGAACCAACTTGGAAGCCCTTTTGCTCTGAAACTTGATCTGCTTAACCCAAGGCTGATTGGCAAGTACTTTAACCCTTTAACCTCCTTTCTGTTACCTCTTTGCTGTGCCGTTGTTTTCTGTATATTTATATATATATTGGTTACATCTTTTTTCTGTAAATATTTTTATTGCACTCTTTTGACCTTTTAGTGATAAATCTTTCTTTTTGAAATTTTGAACTGTTTCTATAGTTCGTTAATGCTTACGAATTCCTGCCTCTAAAAGAGCGCTGCTGTGTTTGTTTAGCCCTCTGTATAACCTGTCTGCGGTGACAGTGCTATACAGACGATTATCTCAACCATCATAGTGTTATTGCTGATATTGCCGAGTTTCCTCTTTCTCTGTACAAAAAGGAGGTGGTGACAGTGTGAAGGGTTATTTGTGTAATTAATCTGACCCAGTAACAATCGCATTCAGGCTGCCGGTACATCGATTTGTGGTCCATTAGCTGGAAAATCATTGTGCAGGGTGCAGCTGGGCGGGGCATTGTTACACACGTGACATCGCGGTTTCAGATTGGCTAGTCCTTTGGTCACGAGTTTGGTGAGAAGGTCGGGGGTCTGACGCGCGCGATCGTCACACAAGGCTGTTGTGAATAGCCTTGTACCATGTGATCTCTGTGATCATTCACAGATTTCACTAGTAGTAAGCAATGATGTCAGGAAGTGACATCTTGCTTACTACTATTCATGTGATCACTGATTGGCCAATCAGTGATAACAGAATCGGGACCTCACATAGAGGTCCCGCACAGTGATCAGTGTTCCGCTGTATCTGGAGGACACAGAAGGAACCGGATTGAGGTGCCGTGCACTCCCAGGGAGCACGCACAGGCTGAAAATGCGGGCGCCATTTATGAACGGCAACCCGCTCCTGCACTGCTCCCATCCAGCCATTAATGTACATGGGCTGGATGGGAAGTGGTTAAAACACAAACAAAAATTCCCAGCTCACTTACCATCCAGCCTGCAACAAACTAATCCAACCATGTCTAACAGTTCATGCAAAAACCGAACATGCCTGGGTTGGATTTGAAGCAGGTTCGATGAACATTACTAAAGTTTGAGCACTAAAGCATTGGAAGCCAAATGTTAAAAAAACATTACTGGCCATTTTCTAGGCCAGCCTTTCTCAACCAGGGTGCCCAGGCACCCTGGGGTGCCTTGACGTTTCTTCTGGGGTGAATTGGCAAAATGACAAAAAATTGCCCAAAACTTGTATACAAGCCAGCAGGTGCAACAAACCTGCCTTTTAGTTACACAAAGCCACAGGTTTTCATTGTGCACCATCACAGCCTTCTAGATGCTGGCGTCCTGACAACCAGTGACATCATCAGTTGATAAGGAGGATTTCAGCTGCCTGCACAGCATCCTAGTTTCCCTTGCCCCTCTCCATCAGTGCTGGGGCCACATTAACTCAGTGATGGATAAAAACTGAGGGAGAGGAGAAACACTGTAATACTACTCCATACCAGTGTGCAAAAGTGTATTTGATTTGGAAGAATAAATCACCTCTAATGTTGGATGTCCTACATGTGTGTATATGTTGCTGCATTATATAAAACTATTAGAATAGTTTTTCACATTTTAGAATGGGGTGCTTCAAGACTGTCCATAATTTTAAAGGGTGCCTTGACTGAAAAAAGGTTGAGAAACACTGTTCTAGGCCAGGGGCGGACTGACAACTCATGGGGCCCCCGGGCAATAGGGGATCATGGGGCCCCTGTGTCCTTGCCCAAACTCAAAAAAGCCTATGAAAAAGGTACCAGGGGCATCTCATGGAGCCCCCTACTGACCCCAGGCCCTCGGGTAGTGCCCGAGTTTCCAAATGGTCAGTCCGCCCCTGATCTAGGCTAATCGGCAAGGAACTGTCAAACACATGGCATGGGGGAGTTTGGCAGTACCCTGAGGAAAATTTGCCATAGCAAAAAAAAAACCCAAAACTTTTTAATATCCATTTGACAGGGGACAGGGATTTGAATAATGATTTATGTAAATCATTAGAAATTAGAAAATTCTAACAATAACATGACAATACCATGTCTGTAGGAGGCTCTGAACCTGACTTTGAAATGGCGAATCTATACGAAGTATACAATATACTATGGCAAACTTAACATTTATAAAGTAAAAAAATGTTGTGTAAATTACAGCTTCAGCTGCTTTATTTGTAAACAAAGGGGCTAGAGATTCCATTCATCTATACCAGACCATGCTAAATTTTTTTTTTTTTGTTCCAGACACAATTTTATTGAAAGAAAAATATGTGCAATTTACAATAGAATCGTACAATGTATAATCAAATGTCCCCATGCAGGGTAGAATGCTAAATGTTTTACTTCCCATTGCTGGTGGAGGTTCAACTCAGCCAAACATCAATTTGGTTCAGTTGTTTGGACAGAACCTGGAGCTCACCCTTACTGTTTATTCCTGGGATCAAAAAATAGATTTTTAAACAAAAAAAAAAAAGATCTTATAATAAAAATCAACAAACAGTAATTAATGGAGCTCTGTATTCATAGCACATCAAGGAATGCAAATAAGAACCAAAGCAGAAAACAACTAAACTAGTGGTATGATGCTAGTTAGTTACCCAGAGCTACTGTCTTAACCACTTGAGCTCCTGAGGATTTACCCCCCTTAATGACCAGGCCTTTTTTGCTGTTTGGCACTGCACTAATTCAAATGATAATTATGCGGTCATGCAATGCTGTACCCAAACGAAATGTACGTCCTTTTTTTCACACAAATAGAGCTTTCTTTTGGTGGTATTTTATCACCTGTGCACTTTTTATTTTTTGCGCTATAAACAAAACAAATACGAAAATTTTGAAAAAAAAAACAATATTTTCTACTTTCAGCTATAAAAAATATATTGTAAACTCAAAGTTAGTCATAAATTTAAGCCAAAATGTATTCTGCTACATGTTTTTGGTAAAAAAATCCCAATAAGTGTATATTGATTGCTTTGTGTGAAAGTTATAGCGTCTACAAACTATGGTATAGATCAGCAATGGGCAAACTACGGCCCGGCGGACCTTTTAATCCGGCCCGCGGAGCGTGATACATTGGCTGTCAGGATGTGTGTAGGCGGGGCAGCGTGAGGAACGTGAGGGGAGCTAGGCTCCTCTCACAGTCCGCCCTGAAGACCGGAACGGCGCGGGAACACGGCGAGAGGAACGCGCAGAGCAAAGGTAAGTGAATTGACACAGGGGGGACTTGGATTTCTACTTGGGGGGGAATAGTACTGTGGGGGATGAAATACTATATGAGGGATGAAGTAATATGGGGGATGAATTAATATGGGGAATGAATTACTATAGGGGGGATGAATTACTATATGGGGGATGAATTACTATGGGGGATGAATTACTATGGGGGATGAATTACTATATGGGGGATGAATTACTATATGGGGGATGAAATACTATATGAGGGATGAATTAATATGGGGGATGAATTACTATATGGGGGATGAATTACTATATGGGGGATGAATTACTATGGGGGATGAATTACTATATGGGGATGAATTACTATATGGGGGATGAATTACTATGGGGGATGAATTACTATGGGGGATGAATTACTATGGGGGATGAATTACTATATGGGGGATGAATTACTATATGGGGGATGAATTACTATATGGGGGATGAAATACTATATGAGGGATGAATTAATATGGGGGATGAATTACTATATGGGGGATGAATTACTATGGGGGATGAATTACTATGGGGGATGAATTACTATATGGGGATGAATTACTATGGGGGATGAATTACTATATGGGGGATGAATTACTATGGGGGATGAATTACTATATGGGGGATGAATTACTATATGGGGGATGAATTACAATGGGGGATGAATTACTATATGGGGGATGAATTACTATGGGGGATGAATTACTATATGGGGGATGAATTACTATGGGGGATGAATTATTATATGGGGGATGAATTACTATATGGGGGATGAATTACTATGGGGGATGAATTACTATATGGGGGATTAAATACTATGCTTAATATGGGGGAATATTACTATACTTACTATGGATGACACATACACATCATTCATCTACTCTTGGTCCGGCCCCCGGGTCCAATATATGAACCCATTGCGGCCCTCAAGTCAAAAAGTTTACCCACCCCTGGTATACATATTGTAATTTATGCCTTTTTTTACTGTACAGCGCTGCACTAATTCAAATGATAATTGCGCGGTCATGCAATGCTGTACCCAAACAAAATTTATGTCCTTTTTTTCACACAAATAGAGCTTTCTTTTGGTGGTATTTTATCACCTGTGTGCTTTTTATTTTTTGCGCTATAAACAAAAAAAACACGAAAATTTTGAAAAAAAAATAATATTTTCTACTTTCAGCTATAAAAAATATATTCTAAACTCAAAGTTAGTTATAAATTTAAGCCAAAATGTATTCTGCTACGTTTTTGGTAAAAAAAATCCCAATAAGTGTATATTGATTGCTTTGTGTGAAAGTTATAGCGTCTACAAACTATGGTATAGATACTGTAATTTATGCCTTTTTTTTAGCGTGCAAGTAAGCGTGTTCCTGGCAATCAAGGGGTCAAATGTGATTACTTGTGTACTAGCGACAAACTGGCACTATCTGAGAGGGGCGCTAACACTATCAGAAGTCACCAGTCACCAATACAGTGATCAGTAAAAATCTGTTCACTGTAATCAATGACACTGGTGACAGGGCAGTGAAGGGGTTAACTGGGGGGGGGGGGAGGGGGGCGATCAAGGGGTTAAATGGGATTTCTGGTGGGGGGAGGGGGGCAATCAAGGGGTTAAATGGGATTTCTGATGCACTAGCGGGCAAACTGGTGCTATCTAGGAGGGGCGCTAACACTATCGGAAGTCACCAGTGACACTGATACAGTGATCAGGAAAAAATCGGTTCACTGATCAGTGACACTGGTGACAGGGCAGTGAAGGGGTTAACTGGGGGGGAGAGATTAAGGGGTTAAATGGGATTACTGGTGTACTAGCGGGCAAACTGGCGCTATCTGGGAGGGGCGCTAACACTATCGGAAGTCGCCAGTGACACTGATACAGTGATCAGGAAAAATCGGTTCACTGATCAGTGACACTGGTGACAGGGCAGTGAAGGGGTTAACTGGGAGGGGGGATTAAAGGGTTAAACGGGATTACTGGTGTACTGGCGGGCAAACCGGCGCTATCTGGGAGGGGCGCTAACACTATCAGAAGTCACCAGCGACACTGATACAGTGATCAGTAAAAATCGGTTCACTGATCAGTGACACTGGTGACAGGGCAGTGAAGGGGTTAACTGGGGGGGGCGATCAGGGGGTTAAATGTGTCCTAGAGTGTTCTAACTGTGGGTATGTGCTGTTTTACTCACAATTTGTATGTCTTCTTCTCTGTCTGGAACGGAATGAGTCCAGGCAAAGAAGAATGACATCATATCCTGTCCTGTGTAACTGTCAACACAGGACAGGATAGGACAGGGAACGATCATCCGATTTCAGCCAGACATCACTGGCTGAAATCGAAAGATTGATCCCTCCGGGAGCAAATGGTGTCACCCACGGGTTGGCGGGAGCGCGCGTGCGCCCCCTGCCCGCGAAAACGTCGGGAGTGCGGAGCCCGTTTTAAAACGTGCTTTTGCACCCCAGTGCCGCCCTGCACACGTATATATGCAGTGGCAGGGCGGCAAGGGGTTAAAAGCTTACTCTGCCTCTATTGACTTACCCTTTCACAGCTTTCTGTC